CGGACCAGGTGGACAGGCACTGAGCCCCTGCTCATGCCAGGCACTGACCAGCAGGGTCTCATCTTGTGGAACCAACAGCCCTGAAGAGAAGCTATGTCATCTCCCTTTGCAGGGGAGGAAAAGAAGCTCACAGAGTTAAGAACTCTGCTCACAATTATTTAGAGGCGAGGTCAGGTGCGAAATTCCAAGTTGACTCCCAAAGTTCATGCCATACAGGCACCAGTAAGTCTAATATGCATCCTCAAATGAACCATGTGTGTCCTGGAATCAACAAGTGTTTTTCTTAACTGTCTAATTTATCTCATAGGCAACAATATTCTAACAACGATTACACAGCATTTTTAAAAATCATAAGCAACAAAAACCTGTCATTGAAATTTGAAGGACAGGCAATGTTATCCCCACCTTACTGTCTTACAGCCTATGACTTCTTCCTGTCTGTGTGCCCAAGGTTGTTTGTTTTCATTTGCTCTATATGGGTATTTCTTGCAGTTCTTTCGCTACCTGACCCTGGCCATGCCCCTGAAACTCTACCTTTGCTGCACTATACAGATTTGATTTTGACATTGTGTAATGTTGAGTGTTCTTCTGTTATCTTTCCCCAGATCAGGAGGAAGGACCCCATACTAAGAATGCATTCATCAACCAATATTTAGTGAGTTCCTAAAAAGTACATCAGGCACTAACAATAAGGCCTCAGTTCTGAGAACATAAAAAGGAATATAGGCCAGGCTCCGTGGCTCACACCTGTAATCCCAACACTTCGGGAGGCTGAGTGGGAGGACCCCTTGAGCCCAGGAGTTTGAGACCAGCTTGAGCAACATGGGAGACCTCCATCCCTACACAAGATACAAAAATAGCCAGGTAGGGTGGTGTGCACCTGTAGTCATAGCCACTCAGGAGGCTGAGGCGGGAAGATCACTTGAGCCCAGGAGGTTGAGGCACGATCATGACATGCCTCGACCATGATCATGACACTGCACTCCAGTCTGAGCAACAGAGTGAGAACCTGTCTCAAAAAGAAATAAAATTACAATGCAGCCCTTGACATTAATAAGCTTCAGATCTGGTAAGGCAAAAGAAGTAAACAAATTGAAATACAGCTAATAGCAACTACGTACAGACCAACCTGCCTGACAAAAACAATTAAAAAGATGCATAAATTGTTGCTGTTGTTGTTTTAGAAAACTTACGAACATCCAGGAGTTAATATGACACTGGAATGTTTCCAGACCGAGAACCAGAGAACTGAGTATCTTAGACGATTTTGTGGTGCTATAACAAAATACCCGAGACCTGAGACCAAGCAATTTATTAGAAAACAGACATTTATTTCTCAAAGTGCTGGGGGCTGAGAAGCCCCAGATGAAGGCACTGGCAGGTCTGGTGGTCTGGTGAAGGCTGCTCTCTGCTTCCAAGATGGCGCCTTAGTGTTGCCTCCTCTGGAGGGGAGGAGCACCGTGTCCTCACAGAGTGGAGGCTGACAGGTGAGCGGCTGTATGCTATGCAAAGCCTCTTTATGAGAGCACTAATCTCATAAGCAAGATGGCTCATGGTCCGTCACCTCTTAAAGGCCCTACCTCTTAATACTGTTGCATTGGCAACACCTGAATTTTGGAGGAAACATATTCAAACCGTGGTATTCCACCCTTGGCTCCCCAGAATTTGTGTCCTTCTTATATACAAGACATAACCACGTGTCATGTAATGATGGGGATATGTTCTGAGAAACACACTCCTAGGCCATTTCATCATTGAGCAGGCATCACAGGGCATGCTCACACAGGTCTAGATAGTACAGCCTACCCCATATCTGGGCTCTGTGGTATGGCCGACTGCTCCTAGGACACAAGCCTGCACAACATGCTACTGTACTGAATACTGTAGGCAACTGTGACACCTGGCAAGTATTTGTGTATCTAAACAACTAAACATAGAAAAGTTACAGTAAAGGGCTGGGCGTGGTGGCTCACACCTGTAATCCCAGCACTTTGGGAGGCCGAGGCAGGCGGATCACGAGGTCAAGAGATCGAGACCATCCTGGCCAACATGGTGAAACCCCGTCTGTACTAAAAATACAAAAATTAGCCAGGCGTGGTGGCACGCATCTGTGGTCCCAGCTACTCGGGAGGCTGAGGTGGGAGAATCACTTGAACCCAGGAGGCAGAGGTTACAGTGAGCTGAGATTGTGCCACTGCGCTCCAGCCTGGCGACAACAGAGCAAGACTCTGTCCCAAAAAAAAAAGAAAAATTACGATAAAAATATGAGATAAAAGAGTGAAACATAGTACATTGCATAAGGCACTTACCATGAATAGAGCCTGCAGGACTGGAAGTTGCTCTGGGTGAGTCAGTGAGTGAGTGCTGAGTGAATGTGAAGGCCTAGGACATTGCTGTACACTACTGTAGACTTTAGAAATACTGTACACTTAGGCTGTACTAAATGTATTCTAAAAATTTTTATTTCTTCAATAGTAAATTAACCTGTTTACCTTATCAACTTTTTAATTTTTTACAAAAAATTTTGACTCAGCCGGGTGTGATGTCTCATGCCTGTAATCCCAGCACTTTGGGAGGCTGAGGCAGGTGGATCACCTGATGTCAGGAGTTCGAGACCAGCCTGGTCAGCATTGTGAAACCCTGTCTGTACTAAAAATACAAAAATTAGCTGGGTGTGGTGGTACACACCTGTAGTCCCAGTTACTTGGGAGGCTGAGACAAGAGCATGGCTTGAACCTGGGAGGCGGGGGTTGCAGTGAGCCAAGATCACACCACTGCACTCCAGCCTGGGTGACAGAGTGAGACGCTATGTCGAAAAAATAAATAAATAAAATTGACTCTTATGGTAACACTTAACTTAAAACACAAACACATTGTATAGCTGTATAAAAATATCTTTTTCTCTATATTCCTATTCTATAAACTTCTTTCTGTTTTTAATTATTAAAATTTTCTCTAACTTTTTGAACTGTTTTATAAAAAACTAAGACTCAAGACCCAAACATATACATTAGCCCAGGCCTACACCACGTCGGGACCCTCAGTGTCACCCACTGTCTTCCACCCCTTCGTCGTGTCCCACCGGAAGGGCTTTACGATTACATTTTTAAAAAAACAAGTAGGAGGTGTACGCTCTAAAATAATGGTAAAAATTATAGTATAATAAGAAACATAAACCAGTAACATAGTCACTTATCATCAAGTATTACGTTCTCTACATAACTGTATGTGCTAGACTGCAGGTTTGCTGACACCAGCATCCCCTGGGACGGGGAAGTGATGTGTTGTGCTGTCATGTTATGAAGGCTATGCTGTTCCTAGGCAATAGGAAGTTTTCCTTGTAAAATCTTACAGGGTCACTGTCACATAGGTAGTCCATCGTTGCCTAAATCATCCTTATGTGTTCATTCATTCTCTCCCACTAGCCTCAAGCATTTTAACTTGTCCCAGGATTAACTCAAGTCTAAAGTCCAGAGTCTCATGTAAGTCAAATATGGATGAGATTTAAGGCAGGATTCATCCTGAGGCAACTTTCCCTCCAGCCTGGTGCTAAGGAGCCAAACAAGGTATGTGTCTCCAAATTATAATGGTGGGACAGGCACAATATAGTCGCTTTCATTTCAAAAGGGCGAAATAGGAAAGAAGAAAGTCATAACAGGTCCCAAGTAAGTCCAAAACCCAATAAGGCAAAGAACATGAAAACAACATTAAATCTTTTTTTTTTTTTTGAGACAGAGTCTCACTCTTGTTTCCCAGGCTGGAGTGCAGTGACGCCATCTCGGCTTACTGCAACCTCCTCCTCCCGGGTTCAAGCAATTCTCCTGCCTCAGCCTCCTGAGTAGCTGGGATTACAGACGCCTGCTACCATGCCTGGCTAGTTTTTGTATTTTTGGTAGAGACAGGGTTTCACCATCTTGGCCAGGCTGGTCTTGAACTCCTGACCTCAGGTGATCTGCCCACCTTGGCCTCCCAAAGTGATGGGATTATAGGCATGAGCCACCACACCCAGCCACAATAGTAAATCTTGAGGCCTGAGAACAATCCCGTCTGACTCAATGTCATGCCTTCTAGATATACTGGGGTGGGTGTTGGGCTTCCAAGGCTCCACAGGACCCTACCCTCAAAGCTTTGCTGGGAGCAGCCCATAATGCAGCTCTCAGCAGTTGGAGTTGGGTACCTGGGACTCTCCCAGGCTGGCATTGCACATTGGCAGCTCTACAAATCTGGGGTCTTGGGGACAGCCTGCCCCCATTGGTTCCATCTGGGGTCTTGGGGACAGCCTGCCCCCATTGGCTCCACTAAGCATTGCTCTAGTGGAGATTCTCTGCAGTGAGCCCACCCTGGAGCAACTTTCTGCTTGGTCCCCAAGGCTGTCCATGACATCCTTTGAAATCTGGTGGGAGAAACCACGCCTCCACAGCTCTTGCATCTGTGCACTTGTGGAGTTAGCGCCATGTGGATATTGCAAAGGGTTATGGCCTCAGTCTTTGAGAGCGGTGGCTCAAGCCACACCTGGGCCCACTTGAACAAAACGGGGTCAGTTCAAGAATGCTTCGCAGAAACACAGGGCATGGAGTCCCAAGGTAGCCCTGGGTCATGGGCCCTAAGGCCCCTGGGCCCCTCCCTTGAAATCATTCTGCCCTCAAAGGCCTGGCACTCTGGGCCTATTATGAGCAGGTGACCTTGAAGATCTCCAAAATGCCTTCAAGGTCGTTCTCCTATTACCTTGATGACTAGCATCTGGCTTCCTTCTATCCCTACTAATCTCCTTAGCAAAGGTCACCAGGCCACACTTTTTTCATTCTTTACATGGCCAGGCTGAGAGCTTTCTAGATCTTTACATTTACTTCCCTTTTAACTATCAATTCCATCTTGAAATCATTTTTCTCTTTTTTTTTTTTTTAATAATATTGATTTTATAGAAAGGACCAATTCAAAATTGGTCAGATGCCACACGCTAGAAGCTTCCAGAACCACAATGATGGGGGGAAAACGAGAGAGAACAAACAAAAATACACCAGACCAAAATGCCTGAAAAAATCAAGGTCCTGGTTGACCAAAGGATTCTTAAAAAAACAGATGGCCGGGGGTGAGGAGACCCCGATGCCTGAAGGAGCCCAGAGTGGAAGGAAAAACAACCCCGAAATGCAAATCCGCAGTCCCTGCCCACGGGCCCCTTGCTCTGTCAAGAGCCAGGCAAAGGGCTTCACAGCTTTATGGGAGTGGGGGTGATGTCAGTAGCTTAAAGAATAATGGGAGGAGGAGGATTTTTATACTTCAGCTTTTTCCACCTCTTCCTCACTGGGGAAGAGGAGAGACTGGCAGCTTGAGGTTAAGGAGAAAACAGCATTTCCCCCTCCCCCAACTTCTTTAATAGGGAAACCATCTAGAAATGGCGAGCTGTCATGAAAAAAATCCCAAATCCCACCTGTGACCTGACAGCCCTCAATTCCTAGAGAGGTGAGAACTCTGGTGTGGCAGGTTAGAAGAGGTGCCAGCCTTGGGCGCTGCGGCCTCTTGGGAAATAACAGCTCCTGCGAAAAAGAATTGGGGCATGGGGGAGGATGGGGGGCCAGAATGGGGGAACCCTTAAGTGGTACCAAAATTAGCTGACGTCTGCTCCCTGCTGGTGGGTCCCTGGGGTGGAGAGCGTGGCAGGGACAGGGTAGGGGCTGAATGGAGAAGAAAGTGAGATGCTGATAAAAAAAATCACCCTTCTCTGAGGGTCCACCGCCCTGGTTCTGAAGAATAGAAAACAAACAGGAGCCAGCAGAGTGCTTTCCTGGTCACTCCCGCTGAACCCCGGCGCAGTTCCGTGAAGGGATCAACGCTGCCTGGAGTGGGGGAATGGGAGCAGGTGGCCCAGTCCAGACCCTCGGCTCCCGGGGAAGGGGGAGGGGCGGGCATAGTGGGCTCTCCCCGCCCCTCCCCCGGCTTCACCTCCCCTCCTCCCGGCCTGCCCGGCCCCCCGCCCGGCCCGTTGCAGGGCAGCACCCAGTTGTTGTCGTGGAGGCGCAGGCGGCAACCCGGCGTCTCGCTGTCGGCTTGACGGCAGCACATCCAGTAGGAACGTCCGTCCGTAAGGCAGGTCGTGGTGGTAGGGCTTGGGGTGCCAGCGGCAGAGCGACACGTCGCCCTTTTTGTATCTCTTGCGGCACTGCTTGCACGGGTCATCGCGGTAGAGCGGGTCTCGGCTCCAGCCCGAGTCTGTGGCCCGCACACCGAACGCCTCAATGATGCCCTTGAAGTGGTGGCAGGTGCACTTGAGGGCGGCCAGCGCGCGCGTGGGCAGGAAGCTGAAGATCTTGACCAGCACGTGCTCGGGCAGCCCCAGCATGTACTGCCGCGGCTCCAGCAGCCGCTGAATCTTGAAGCGGATCTCTAGGAAGTCGTGCGACACGTGTCGGTACAGGCGGCACAGGGAAGTGTCCGCCGTGCCCTCGGCATCGTCCGGGCCAGGCGCGGTGGCCGGCGAGTCTGCCGCGGGAGGCTCTGGGGGCCCGTCCGGCCCGTGGTTCTGGAGGAAGAAGAGCTGGCCGGGAGGCTGCGGCTCCTCGGGGCTGACCGTCAGGCACACAGTCTCCTCCTTCACGTTCTTGGTGCCGTCCTTGCCAAAGAAGATGCACTCATCCACCACGCCCGTCACCACCACGTCCACGTGGACGCCAGACGCTCCACAGTCCCGGGCAGTGGGCGGAGGAGGCGCCGGGGGAGTGTCCTCGGATCTTACAGGCGCTGGGCTCTCACCCTCGCTGGCCTCATCCGCCCTGGCCAGCAGGAACTCCACGTTGCTGGGGAGGGCATCCCGCGAGGGGCTGATGAGCTGGTATAAGTCACACGTGATCTTGTCCTTGGATCGGGCCCCGGGACCTGGGCTGCCAGGGTAGGCACAACCAGGCCTGCCCCTGCCCCCACTGGGCAGGCCGCTGTCTGGTGCACTGGGCTCCCGGCCGTTGGAGATGCGGAAGGCGATGCGCACCTCCCCGGGGCCGGTACCGGCCGCTCCTCCTTGCGGAGGCCCTTGGTAGGAGGGCTATCCCTCTGCGCCTCGAAGTGGGCCACGGCCTCGGCTACACGGCTGCAGTCCCCACCGCCAGACCGCCGTTCGGACCCCACACCCTTGGCCGGTCCACTCTGCTCAGCCGACACAAAGACTACAGGTGCTAGGGCGGCTGGTCGTGGGTAGCTCTGCAGGGCCAGGGCGGCCCGCTGTTCCACCAGGGCCACCATCTCTGCCACAGAGAGCAGGTCCACGTCCTCACCGGCTGAGGAGGGGCCCTCCTCAGTAGCAGGGGACCCCTCCCGATCCCCTGGATGGGGAGGAGCCTTGGTGGGGTCAAGACAGCGCCGTATCCGCTTGGCCTTGGAGCTCTTGCTGCCCCAGTGCCCCTTGACCTTCATGGAGCTGGCCCGGCTGCTCCCACCACACTGTGGGCCACAAAGAAGGCCACCTTCTCCTTTGTATTCCCAGGCTTGATGACATACCACGTGTCCAGGAGGACTCGACCCTCATCGCCAGCAGCTGCTGCTGAGAGGAGTGGAGCCCGCTGGGAGGAGCCTCAGTGGCCAAGGCAGGTGGTGTGCTCTCTGAGTGGGCAGGCCCATGGTCTGGCTCACCTCCGCCACCAGGCTCAGCGCAGGCTGATGGCTTGAGGGCTGCAGAAGCTGGGCGAGGCTGGTTCTGTGAGTAGGTGCCAAAGGGCCGGGGGCACCACAGCTGGAAGGGCAGCAGGCTTCCGCGGTCCATGCTGGGGGATGATGTCAGACAGGCTGGGCTTCACCGCATCTCAGGACCTAGATGGTGGTGGGAGGCTCCACATGCCACCCGCTGCCCCCCCAGGTGGCAGGAGAAGCTCATTTTTCTCTTTTTGCACTCTATTGTAAGCAGTGAAGAGAAGACATACAGCCCCTTCAACATTTTGCTGCTTAGAGATTTTTTCCACCAAATATCCTAGTTCATGGCTCTTGAGTTCTGCCTTCCACAGACTCCTGGGACATGGACATAATTCTACCAAGTTATTTGTCACTTTGTAACAAGGATGGCCTTTCCTCTAGTGTCCAGTACCTTGTTTCTCATTCTCATCAGAAACCTCCTCAGGATGGTCTTCCTGGTTCATATTTCTACTAACAACCTGCTTACAGCCACTTAAGTAATCTCCCGGAAGTTCCAGACTTTCCCTGTGCTCTCCTCTTCTTCTGAGCCTCCCCCGGTCATCCTAAGTGCTCCATTCTTAGCACTCCAGGTCTTTTACAGCATTCACTTCAAAACTGTTCCAGTTCTACCTATTACCCGGTTCCAAGGCTACTTCCACAGTTTTAGGCATTTGTTACCAGTGATTTAGTGCCTCACTTCTCTGGCACTAGTCTGTCTTTGCCTGTTTTGTGCTGCTATAACAGAATACCACAGACTGGGTATTTTATGAAAAACAGAAATTTGTATTCTCACAGTTTGGAAGCTGGGAAATCTAAGATCAATAAACCAGCAGTTTGGGTTGTTTAGTGAGGGGTGCTCTTAGCTTCCAAGATGTTGCCGAAATTTATATCTTCTAATTGTGTATCCTCTGGCAGGGAGGGGCACTGTATCCCACTGTGTAAAAGGTAGGACAAGCCACCAAAAGCTGTATGAAGCCTGTTTTACAGGGGCTGTAATCTGAAACCCTCATAGTCTGATCCCCTTTTAAAGGCACCACCTCACTGGCAACACCTGTATTTTAAAAAGAAAGTTTTATTTTTTTGTTGTTTGTTTTTGCTTTGAGACAGGTTCTCCCTCTGTCACTCAGGCTGGACTGCAGTGGCTCCATCACGGCTCACTGCAACCTCTTCCTCCAGGTCCCAAGCGATTCTCTTGCCTTAGCTTCCCAGGTAGTCTGGACTATAGGCACACGTCACCACGCCTGGTTAATTTTTGTGTGTTTTGTAAAGATAGAGTTTTACTATGTTACCCAGACTGGTCTTGAACTTTTGGGCTCAAGTAATCCACCCACCTCTGCCTGCCAAAGTACTGGAATTACAGCCATGAGCCACACACCCAGCCAGGGGGAAGCATTTACATCCTAGCAATGAACCATGCATTTGGAGTAACTTTTGTATGAGGTTATCTGAGATGGGATTAGCGGTTCAGAGGCTGAACTGCACTTTTGAGAGCCTTGTGAAAATGCGGGTCAAATGTCGGAGTCCAGGACAATCTAAGTTTGGGTCCCCTGCTAATTAATCCCCTGCTTAGGCAGGAACCACAAAGGTCTGATCCTGAGAAGCAAGAGTAAATAAAAAGGAAATCAGTGCTGGCATGGACTATAACCAAATTTTCAGTCCTTTTGGTTACTTAGAAAATCTCTAGCCCTGAAGATAGTTTAAGGTGACACTATCGATAGAGCACCAAAGTACCTGCCATAAACAAATGAAAATTTTTTATAGGGGAAAATAACATTATCCTAAACTTCAAATTATTCCTACAAATAACTTCTCAAACATGATGTCAAGCACATAATAAAAAATAACCAGCACCACCTCCAACTCATTAGGATAGCTCCTATTAAAACAAACAGAAAATAACAAATGTTGATGAGGATGTGGAGAAATTGGGACCTTTATGCACTGTTAGTGAAAATATAAAATGGTGCAACCACTGTGGAAAACAGGATGGTGGTTCTACCCAAAATTAAAAACAGAATTACTGTATGATCAAACAATTCTACTTCTGGGTATATGCCCAAAAGAATTGAAAGCAGGGTCTCCAAGAGATATAGCTATGCCTATGTTTACAGCATATTCACAGCAGCTAAAACATGGAAGCAACCCAAGTTTCCACTGACCATAAAATGCACATGCAAAATGTGGCATATACATAAAATGGAACATAGAAAACATTACGATAAGTGATGGACAAAAATCATACAGTAACAAAAAGACAAATACTGTATGATTTCACTTATATGAAGTACCTAGAGTAGTCAAATTCATAGAGACAGAAAGTAGAATGGTGGTTGTCAGGGGCTGGGGGATGGGTGCAATGATGAGTTAATATTTAATGGGTATAGAGTACGAGTTTTGCAAGATAAAAAGAGTTTTAAAGATGGGTGATGGTGATGCTGCACAACAATATGAATATATTTAATACCACTGAACAGTACACTTAAAAATGATTAAAATGGTTAATTTATGTTGGATGTATTTTACTAGAATAAAAAAAAATTGAAAAATATTTGAAAGAATTACCAGACTACCAGACATACAAAAGAGATGATGTTAATGAGAAATAGCAGGAAAAAAAACATAACAGCAAGGACTCCAGATATTGGAAATGTCAGACACAGACTGTCAAACAACCATGCTGAATAGGCTCAAAGAAATAAAAGCTGGGTGTGGTGGCTCACGCCTGTAATCTTAGCACTTTGGGAGGCCAAGGTGGGTGGATCACCTGAGGTCAGGAGTTCAAGACCAGCCTGGCCAGCATGGTGAAATCCCATCTTTAAAAAAAGAGAAAAATAAATAAAAGCTCAAAAATTTTGGCAGAAAATTGGAAACTTTAAAACAGAAATCATCATATTTAAAACAGAAATCATCATTCTAATATCACTTATTAGAAGCACCTCCACTTAATATTATCATATTGGCAACATCTGAACTGCAAAAAAGCAAAATCAAGTGGTTGGCATGGTTTAGGGGGAGTGGGTGAAGGGATGAATAGGTGAAGCATAGGAGAATTTTAGGACAGTGAAACTATTCTCTATAATTCTGTAACGATGGCTACATGACAATATGCAACTGTCAAAACACACAGAACTGTACAACACAAAGAGTGAACCTCACTGTAAATTGTGGGACTTTAGTTAGTGATAATGTATTAATATTGATTAATTAATGCAATAAACATGCCACACTGATGCAAAATGTTAATAATAGGAAAAACTGTGTGTGGGAGGAGCACATATGGGAATATTCTGTATTATTGGCTTAATTTTTTGATAAATCTAAAATCATGAGCCTCAAGTCAGTGTAAGAAAAAAATGAAAATAAAATGAAAACATTATAAGAAATAAATTCGGCCGGGCGCGGTGGCTCATGCCTATAATCCCATTACTTTGGGATGCCAAGGCAGGTGGATCACAAGGTAAAGGGATCGAGACCATCCTGGTCAACATGATGAAACTCTGCCTCTGCTAAAAATACAAAAATTAGCTGGGCATGGGGCAGCGTGCCTGTAGTCCCAGCTACTCAGGATGCTGAGGCAGGAGAATTGCTTGAACCCAGGAAGCGGAGGTTGTGGTGAGCCGAGATCGCGCCATTGCACTCCAGCCTGGGTAACAAGAGCAAAACTCCATCTCAAACAAAAAAAGAGAGAGAGAAAGAAATCCTACCAATTTTTAAAAAGTAAAATCATCAGCGTGAAAAAGGAGCAAACAGAAAGTTTAGAAATGAAAAAATACAATATAACAAAGTAGTCCCACAGTTGGGATTAACAGCTAATTAGAAACGGATGAATTGAAAATTAACTTATGCAAGATAGGCCAGGGGAAAAAACACTAACCTGAATGAAGCATAGAATGTGAAAGGGATGAAAAATACAAAAGGAGAGGATTAGTGGCATAAAGAACAAAGTGAGAAGGTCTTACATTCAACTGGCATCCCTAAAAGAAAGGAGAATTGTAATAGGGAAAAATTAACATCTGAAGTAAAATTGCTTATGCCTATAATCTCAACACTTTGGGAGGCCAAGGCAGGTGGATCACTAGAGGTCAGGAGTTTGAGACCAGCCTGGTAAACATGGTGAAACCCCGTCTCTACTAAAAATACAAAAAAAAAAAAAAAAATAGCTGGGCGTGGTGGCACACACCTGTAGTCCCAGCTACTCGGGAGGCTGAGGCAGGAAAATCACTTGAAGCTGGGAGGCAGAGTTTGCAGTGAACTGAGATCACGGCGCTGCACTCCAGCCTGGGCAACAGAGTGAGACTCTGTCTCAATAAATAAATAAGTAAATAAAAATAAAGAAAGTAAAATAATAGAATCTTCTAAAAGTGATGGAAGACGTCAGTCCTCAAACTCAGAAGTCCTATAAATTTGACATAAAGTAAATTTTTAAAAATCTAGGTCCAGACACCTGAGGGAAAAACAACACTGAAGACAATGAGAAAATCTTAAAAGCAGCCAGAGAATGAAAAACAGCTTATTTAAAAAAAAAAAAAAAAAAAAAAAAAAAAAAAAAAAAAAAAAAAAAAAAAAAAAAAAAAAAAAAAAAAAAAAAAACCCAGCTGACTGCAACAGAGACAGCCAAAGTCAGGACCCAAAGATCAGAAGTTTTCAATATGCTTGCCAACTTAGCATACTATAACCATGTTCAAGAATGAGGAGTCAAAAAATTACAATAATTATCCGGGCGTCATGGCGGGTGCCTGCAGTCCCAGCTACTCAGGAGCCTGAGACAGGAAAACTGCGTGAACCCAGAAGGTGGAGGTTGCGGTGAGCCGAGATCGAGCCACTGCACTCCAGCCCAGGACTTGTCTCAAAAAACAAACAAACCAAAGTTAATCATAAAATCAGAGGGAGCTCAACAGGCAGTGAAACTACTAACACAGACCTCATGATAGGAGGTCAGTATTAGAGCAAGTTAAAGCAGGTGCTCCTGCCCGGCAATTATCAGTGGAAGGTGCAAGATGAGAACAGAGGTAGACTCTGTTTCCTCATCGGAACAGTCATGTGCCACTCAATGGGCTCCCAGCTTCCTCCAAAACATTTGATGTTTCACGGTGTGCTTTTAACCAGCGGTGTTGTCCAAAGAGATTGTAATTTATAGCTCTTGCTCATCTTAAGCTCAAAACTAATTGGATCCACTCCCCAGGGATACCCTGAC